AATAAACTCAAAGCTGAAAAAAAAAGAAAAGAAAAGACCGAGAATGTTGAATCCAGCCAGGACATCAGGCGTACAGGCAAATACTGCAGAGGATGAAGGAGGTCGCAAAGGCAAGGTCATGGGATTGGCAGAAGGACAACTAAGGAAAGAGAGGAACCTCTTAGGCTGGATGGAGACCTGATTAGCCAGAGCTAGTAGACCAAATATAGTAGACTCCCTGAAATAATTAAACCTAGAATTACATATGACCCCACGGTTTCACTTTAGCTATGAGAACCAAAGAAGTAAAAATAGAGATTCAAACAGATGACTGTACTTAGAAGCATTATTCGTATGAGCCAAGAGGTAGAGGCAGCCCAAGTGTTTGTGGACAGATGAGTGGATTCTTTTGAATGTGGTAGGTACACACAATGTTATTAAACCTAAAAACTGAATAACCCTTGTGGACATGATGCTAACTGAAATAAGCCAGTCACGAGAGGACAAATACTGTGCTATTCCACTTACGCGAGGTACTTAGAGTAGCCAAGTTCCTAAAGACCAAAAGTGGAGCAGTAGTGTTGTGGCCTGGGGAAGGAAAGAATGGATACAGAGTCTCGGTTTGGGAATGTGAGAAAGTTCTGAAGATTAACAGTGATAATGGTTTCACCTTGTGAATGGACTTAATATCACCGAACCGTACAATTAAAAGTGGTTAAAGTGACAAATTTTATGTGATGCACATTTTACCCCAGTGAGGAAATAGGATAGAGTGAAAGCTTGGGTATGCCGGTGCCGCTGTTAGAGTGAGCACTGCAGTTAGACAGGTGAGAAAGGCATCGACCGTCATAGGCAGAGAATTGTGCTTTGGAATTTCAGACTTGAAAGGAGAAATCTTTCCATAGTATTGCAAAGTCTTGGCCCACATTTCTTGTCCATCCGTGGAAGAACTCCATACCCAGCCAAAGACAAGTAATACGGTGTGGGTGAGGGTGTGCATCAGGGAATCCAGGGGTGAGGACTTGTGTGGTCTTCCAAGGTGATTCTAACATCTCACCAGCTTTGTCTCCGCCGGGGTGCTGGGGTGAGAGGCGAAAGTACAAATCTGGTATGAAGACGGTCAGGGCGAGAGAGTGGATTTATCCACTGCACAGGAATTAAAGTGGCCAAGAAGTGGTAGCAAAACTTGAAAAGGCAGGGAGCACCATAGTGGAGCTGTTAATGAGTTGCGGAGACACACAGAGGATTGGATTAGTGGGGATGCACGGGCCTCACAAGCTGTCATTTTCAGTTCTGGATGGAGAGAAAATGGTTTGCAAGGGCTTACAAGAAAGTGAGAGTGGCTACTCTTTCCCAGATGCCTTTTTCAGGAGCAATTGCAGTACTCCAAAACATGAGCTGTCTCCAGTTAAGAGAGCTGTATGTGAAGTAAGACCATGGACTGCGGTTCATTAGCCCCAGCCTCCTACTAAAATCATGCGAAGGACAATTTTTTAAATGTATTGGTGCCAGTTGAAGCTAAATCCCTGGGGGTGCAAAAAAAGGACCTGATGGTAGTTTTCTAAATCTACCTATGTGATTCTGTCAAGCAGTCGGGTTGAATACCACAGCCCTAGGGAGAAAGCCTGGTTTTGTTTAAGACAAACAGGTAGAAGAAATGTAGTCCAAGCAGGGCTGGGGTCTCAAGAAAACTTAGAAAAGGTGCCGGAAAACAATAGTGGAGAACAAATTTGAAAGATGAGAGGCAGAGAAAACAGTGCTCATCTTTGAAGAGGATAAGGAGTATAGGTGTACATGGCCTTCACTCTCCAAATTTAACTCATCCCAAGCTGTTTCCATCCAGTTGTCTGCTGGGTAGAGAGATGGGCGTAGACTAGTTCAATGCAGCATTTGCACACCACCCACCGTGCCAGGAGTCTGTAGACACAGTACACACCCGGAGTCGGTGCTGTTAACTTTTCCAAGCCTCTGCGTGCTACTGGATAAAATAGAGATTCCTCTTGTAAGAGTTGAATGCAAAAATGAAAGGGGTGGATATATGTGGATGAATGAGAATTACCTCCACAGGAAATGCCCTCTTTCCTTAGGAATAGGCCAGTGGGTAGGCTTTTAGGACTCCTTCGCACGTGGTGTTAGGACTAATTTCACAGGGCTTGTGGCATGTGCTTCCAGCTTTCTTTTCTCTCCAGTGCATAAAGCTTGTCCAAAGAGACAGCCTCCTTCTCTTCCCCACCCCCACCTCCACTTCCTAGCAGCGCCCTGGCTCAGGACGCATTGACATTACCTGACAAAGTCATTAGCGCAGACTTTGGAGCTCAAGGGTTCCTTCTTCTTGCTCTGTTTCCAAAGTCATTTTCCTTGCTGCAGACTTCTTAGTAAATTAAAAAGAAGATATATATAAAATGAGGTGTATTTTTCTGTCTATGTCTAGACTAAAATTTATTGAGGTTGAGCTGGGCGTGTAGCTTAATGGAAAAAGGCTTGCTTAGCATTCCCAGGCCCTTGGTTTGATCCCCTGTACCACACACACACACACACACTTTTTAAATAAAATTCAATACACAAAACAGAAAATAATGATTATATTGCAATGATTAAGAAGTACTTTGAGGAAAAACATTTTATATGTAGTCATATAATTACCTACTTGAATTCTGTAATTCTAAAAAAACAAGTCCTAAAATATTTTTTCTAAAACTATAAGTCTTAAAATAGTCATAATATTTATGGTATCTTTTAATGTGCTTAGCTCATTTATATTGGACTAGGGTTTATTTTCCTTACTATATTAACTCAGGAAAACAGGTGGAGGATGGTATTTTCCTTGGTCCCAATGGGGACCAAGCAACAGAGTAGGTACTAAAGCAACTCAAGTTGTTAAATTTGGGCCCAAGGTCTACAGTTTCCTCCTTCTTTTTTTTTTGGTACCAGGGATTGAACTCGGGTCCTTGTGCTTGCAAGGCAGGCCACCGAACCGCTGAGCTAAATCCCCGGCCCCTACAGTTTCCTCCTTCTGTTAGTACTTTTAGTTTCAGATGTCAAAGTTATCCAGTGTTCACAGTTGTTTCAAGCTGTTTGTATTTAGAAGGTAGGAAATAAAAATTATGTATCCCTTATGTATTAGTCGACTTTCCCATCACAGCACCCAGTGCCCACAATTTACAGGGGATTATTTCAGCTCACATTTTTGGGTTTCAGTCCATGTCCAGTTTTCCCTAAGGCGGAAAGACAGGGTAGAAGGGCACAGCAGAGGGAATCTGCTCACCTCCTGGCAGCCAGGTGACCGAGGGAGCAGAGAGAATCTGTGCAGGGAGATGTACTCCCCAAAGGCACACCCCAGCGACACGCCTCTTCCAACCAAGACCTGTACTATTAATGCATCAGCAGACCTATCCAGTGCTGAGCGTGACCCATGCACCTTCCAAAAGCCCCACCTCTCATGGAGGATACTTTTTTTTTTTTTGGTACTGGGGATTGAACTCTGGACCTTGCACTTGTGAGGCTAGCGGGGAACCACTGGGCTAAATCCCTGGCCCTGAGGTTACATTTTAGATCTAAACAATGACACCTTGATAATGGGAAGACAACTGTTCTATAGACAGCAAATCAGTTGTATCTTTAAGAAAACTGTGTTAAGTCAGATACAAATACGAAGACTCATTCAAATCACTAGGTAGGGGATTTGATTGTGTGTGTGTGTGTGTGTGTGTGTGTCTGCCTGCCTGCCTGCCTGCCTGTCTGTGTCTGTGGTGTGTGGAATGAAACCCACAGTCTTGTATATACTAAGTAAGTGTTCTACCACTGAACTACGTCCCCAAGCCCTGATTCATTTTTAAGGCAGCACCGTAATTAGCGACCCTGGGAATACTGTGCTACAGTTCCTCTGTTGGTGTAGAATTGTTTCCCAGCCTTCCTGCGGGCATCCTTTCAGCATTTTGTGTGCTGAAGCTCTGTGGCCAACTAAGAAACCAAGCTGCTGCTGCTGCTGCTGCTCCTTCCGCTCCTTCCGCTCCTTCCTCCTCCTCTGCCTGTTGTAAGTGCAGCTCTCCTTGCACTGTCAGGGAGCAGTTTTCCTGCCTGACTCTTTCCTTGCCATGAGGCTGGCTCTTTATTCCTCCAGTTCATTTCGGTGTTTCAGACAGTGTTGTTTATACAAAAGAATCCCCTGTAAAGCTTTGGGGATTGATCACTGAAAGGGTACATGAATAGTGTCCTTTCCACCATCTCGTGTGTTTTTTAAGTTTATGTATTGTCATAAAATGTTTTTCTTGTCCTTGGAAGTAGGCTTCTTTAACTTCCCCTCCTTCCCTCTCTCTCCCTCTCCCTCCCTCTTCCTCCTTTTCTCCCCCTGCCTTTTCCTTTTCCTTTCTTCCTCTTTTACTTCTGATCATCTCCTCTCCCCTTAGCTGTCTGGCAAAGATGAGAAGACTGCCTGCTTTGCAGAAGCAGGACAGTCTAGGCTTAGGGATTTCCTGTGAGAGCAGAATTCACCCCGAGTTCTCAGCCCGCTGAGAAGTTGATGGAGTTGTTTCAGTGGACCGAGAACACTTCACTAACCCGTCCCACGAAAGAAGCCATCTCTGCGGTGTCGCCTGTCAAAACAGGTAGAATGTCTGAGCAAGATGCTACATTTAGGCCTTACTTATGTGGGTTGATTGTTCTATGAGCAAATAAATTCCTGGTTTCCTGCCTTTCTTCCTAGTGCCAAAATTCCATCTCGCTAAATGGCTATAGATGTAGGTAAGGATGAAGTGCCCTTCAGTCCCAGCCAAGTAGATGCACAGTAAACCAGATGTCAAATCCCACCATTAATGGGATTAGAGAGGTAAATAATGGGGCAGAGGTCACACTGCATCTCATAGTGAGAGTTGCATTTGGCTTCTAGGGGTCCGTGGAGATTTTGCACGTATTCCATGGAGCCCCTTTCTCCTCGCTTTGGTGTTTTCTTTTTTCACCTGTTGAGCCAACTTTTCTTCCTCTGCCACAATGCCCATTTGTGGCATTCAACTTTGATTTTAAAGGTTTCCATCCCGATCACGGGAGGCCTGGATGTGGTTGCCATGTTGACAGATGATGCCACAGTTGCCACCTGGAATAACGAGGGGCTGCCCAGTGACAGGATGTCGATTGAAAACGCCACTATCCTGACACATTGTGAACGCTGGCCCCTGATGATAGATCCCCAGCAACAGGGAATGAAGTGGATCAAGAATAAGTATGGAACTGATCTGAAAGTCACACATGTGGGCGAGAAAGGGTATGTGAATTCTGAAGGGGTTGGCTTTGTGTGTCGCTGTTATGAAATGGGTTTTCGTATAGTCTTGCTTTTTATAAAGTCTTGGCATTTGTTAGACCTCTCTGCCACTTGTAAATATTATAGTTTGGTGATACTTGTTCACCTGTCCATGTTGCATGTAAAGTATCTCTATTGAAAAGTCACATATAGGCAACGCCCAGTCACGTAAGGTAAAAATTATATTGGACCAACATTGTCCAAAAGGGAAAATTAACTAAATTTCCTAAAGCTAAGAATGAAAACATATGCAGTATACATACTCCTTCCCTAGAGTGGTTGGCATCTGATTTCACAAGAATTGCCAGAGGTACATATGGACTTAGTGGTATTTATGATTATAGCCCTAAATTTATTTATTTCCTATGGTAGGACCTTAACAAATGTGCACATTGGATGTTTGATTTCTTAGCCGTGTTTCCTATGTCACTCTTGAGGACTAAGTCTGCTCTGAGACTGTCACTGGATTTTTTTATTATTGATTTGTTCTGTTAAGAAGAAAGCTCCCATGGATGAGGGCCGGGGATTTAGCTCAGTGGTTCTGCCACCTACTTTGCAGGCACAAAGTCCCGAGTTTGATCCCTGGTACTGAAAAAAAAAAAAGAAAGAAAGAAAAGAAAAAGCTGTCTGTTAATGTAAATTATTTTGGATCTAATATTTCACTTTACTCCATCACTTTCTATTTACGTGTAACGTGAACTAAGGAGTACTTATAGTTCTACACATAAGTGTAGTCCTTGCTTACCTGAATACTTAGAGAAAACTCTTTTTAGTGGAGAAACTCCTTTTGGAGAGGGAATAAAGTTAAATAAAATAATAATTCAACATTTACATTTCTAAACTCAAAGATTTAGAAAGTAAAGATTGACAAAACCACAAAGCATTTAATCTAATATGAATTTTGAGAGGTTCTTTTTTTTTTTTTTTTCAAGACAGGCTCTCACTGTATATTGTAGGCTGGCCTTGAACTCACTATGTTGTCCAGGCCCTAACTCACAGCAATTTTCCTGCCTCAGCCTCCTGAGTATTGGGATTATAGGCATACACCATCATACCTGAGTAATGAATTTAAATTTCTTGCATCATTTACACTTCTTTCAACTGTTGGTCCTTTCTGAAAGCAACTAATTTTCCCTTGGAAAATATGACTATAAGATTTATCTCAAAATCTGATGTCTAATATCTGTCTCATCCAGTTAAAAAATAATGTTTTGTCTCTTCTAAGTCTCATTGAAATATATACATTAAATAAAATGTAATATAAATAATTTTTATTTTTCCTTGTACTTATTTATGTTTTATTATCTCAATCCTGGTTGAATTTTCAGGTTTTTGAATGCTATTGAAACTGCATTGGCTTTTGGTAATGTCATCTTAGTGGAAAACCTCGAAGAAACAATAGATCCAGTTCTTGACCCACTGCTTGGCAGGAACACAATTAAAAAAGGAAGGTAAGTGTCTTGAACTTTTAACAGATCTTTTAATCAATATCTGGGTTTTTTTAGCCTCACAGTCACAGGAATCTTCCTGGTGCTGTTTGAGTCTCTAGTCTGTAGCACCTACACTCCAAGACCAACTCATGACCAACTCTGCATGACCCAGACTTTCAGACTATGTGTTTATAGATTTAGGGTTTTATTTTTCTACCCAATTCCTGTCTTAGGGACCAAAAATACGTTGTCACTGATTTAAGACTGGTTGCCCCCTTTTTACTTTATGCTGACAGCTCTCTGACTTTGGTAATTTGTAAAACACTTTTGAGAATATTTACCTTACCTCTATATCACTTGTATGCTTATTTACTTAATATTTTCCTTCGCACAGACTTTAAATTATCACTCTACTTTTTAAATCAGTCTCGTAAGTGAATGGTGCTAGCTCAATTTTTTTTTTTAAATCTGCTTACATATAACTATTCCGAGAGAGGGGGAGAGAGAGGGAGACAGACAGAGAAAGACTCACCGAATCCTTGAAAGCATATGCTACAGTAGCAGTTGATAAATTATTAACAACAGGGAAACACCCTCACCCCCAGAAAGCTACGTGTGACTGTCCAAGTGGCTGCCATTCCTCCTGGGACACTACACTTTCCAGAACATTCTCCCAAAGTCATTGAAGTCAACTACAAGGAGTCGTCATGTTGCTTTTCTATAAATGTGTGAAAGGTCAGTGCAGCGGTTAGGTCTCAAATTGAGCATGGGTAGGCCCAAGAGAGGTTGTGGCTTTTCAGAGTCTCCTTATGCCTCTTCAGTCAAGAAATCAATAGTCACTGAACTTACTTCATTGTATTTCCTGCTTTTTTTTCTGTTTGTTTTGTTTTGAGTTTCTACCCAGAGGTATAATTTTAAACTTCCCTAAACTCATTCTTCTTTAACGCCTACTCTCTACTTCTAAGGTATCTGTCTCCTTTTTCACCACTTGACTATTCTTGTCAACTTTAAGTGGAAATAGACCTGCTTAAGAGTGACTAACTTCTGAATCTAACCAATTAGTATGGTATTTATTATACAAGTCACCCAGTAAATCCATTTAGAGTGACTGACAACTTATAATTGTTTAATAAACCCAAATTTACCCAGACATGCATTTTGAACAGTCTAATAAGCCACTTGACAAACTACAACTCTTAACATAAATATAATTGTAGCTGTGTCTGATGTGTTAAAAATACAGTGTAAAAGCTTGAATGTCACTAATGTGAAATCCTTATTATTAAGGCACTGATTCTATTATGAAGACCTAAAATTTTTGTCAGAAAAATACATACTCTCTGAGCTTTAACTTCAACAGCACAATTTAAGTATAAGAGATTTGATGATTCTCCATCACATATGTTTGGATTATCTGAAATTTCCAAAGAGTTGTGGGTTTTACTCGGTGGATAGTTATGTATCAATGAGAATTTGAGAATTCTTTGATTTTAGGAACAAAGTTCCTACCACATCTTTACCATAAAATCAGTCCATAATAATTTATTCCAAAGTAATATTTGCTGAATATGCACTCTCTTTTAGGCCTTCTAGAACTGATTGCATGATTTCAGAATTTTTTAAAAGGCTAAGAAAATTTAAGATGTTTTGTAAGAAGATAGTAAGTGGTAATTATTGTATGAAGTTTTTCATAATCCTGGCTGCTAAACTCTTATGTGTGGGAATTACTGCTTGTTTGAGGGGGTGAATTTTAGCTGTATTTCTTTAGGCAGATGATTTTAGTATCTTTACCAAGAGATTACAGACACCAGTGGTCCATTAATATCCTATCAGTCATTGAACTGGGAGCTGCAGATTAAAGTGTAGTACAGCACAGACCTTGCATTTAAGGAAGCTAACTCTCCTTGGGAGAAGGCAATAAAACAATAATATTCTTTTATAAACAATAAAAGGAGTGTAGTGTCACTGGTGTGACGATAACAATATATATAGCAAAGAGTCCACAGTTCCACCACGGAGACTTGAAAAGCCTTTATGGAAAAAGTTATACTTTATTGGGATTAATGTTTAATGTGAATCTTGAAAGATAAGTGAATTTCAAAAAATCAGTGAGCGTTTTCAGGCAAACAGGTAAAAGAAGAGAATCATAGCTTCAGTACAGAGTAGGAAAATGTGTGAAACAATGCAACAGTTTTAGAGAACTGCAGGTCCAGTCCAGTTGGGAGGAGAATCTGTGCTGGGAAGAAGACAAGAGAATGTGGATGAAAGAGATGAGACTCAAGGAGTAAGTATGGTGAAGAATATGGACTTCCTTGATTGGCCTTTTCTTATGGATAATTCTTCCTCTCAACACACACACACTCTCTCAAGGGGCCAATTCCTATCGCTACACTAGTTAACAACTGGTTGTCATCAAAGAGCCAGAGTTCCCAGGAGTTTCCCTATTTTCAGTGAGAATGCTGAGCATATTGAAGATTCTTATGAATGCTGAATGTAATGGGATCAGATTTGCATTTTTGAAAGGAGGCAGTGTTGGCAGTGTGAAGTATTCATAAAAGGAGCATGGACCTAAATAAGGCCAGAGTCCAGTTAGCCAACAGTTGCACATACTCGATTGAGTCATAATCTCAGCCTAAAGTGAAATAGTGACAGTGTGATTAGATAGAGGAGAATAAATAAGAGAGATCAAGGAGTTCATATCAGTTCATGGTTATTAATTGTATATTGTTGATAAGGAAAAAGGTCTTCCACCAAATAAATGATAATGTGATTTATGGAGAGCAGTGTTGTAAGAGTGTGAGGAGGGAGGTAGTAATTTCTCTTATTAGACGTTGAAAGAAGTACTTTTTTTTAACTACCATTCCCAAAATAGTCTGTAAAACACCATTGAATATATGAGTTTGCAGTTTAATAGGGGAATCTTAGCCAAACAAGTACATTGGAAATAGCTATGTAGAGAAGATTTAAGCTATTGTGATTATCTAAGGAAAAACTATACAATCAGAAGAATAGAGGGTATCCTTTCTTTGCATGAGAAATATAGGAAAAGCCTAGTTTGTATCTTCTTAGATACTCTTTGACTATATATTAGTTTTTGGAGACCTAGATGCTTAAATAGCTTTTCCAAATTCATAAGCAGTACTCTTTCAGCAGGCTTCCTATATGTGCCATTTTGCCAGACTAACTCTACCTCCTCTACCTTTATGATTTATTTCCTTCCTGAATCGTTTATATTTTACCATCAGTGTTTTTGAAAGTATGATTTTCCAGGCTGGCTGTCTTACTTTTCTCATTGCTGTGAGACAAGATACCTGAGACCCAAAGTTGAGGGAAGGTTTGCTGTAGCTCACAACTTGTAAAGGTTTCAATTCACAGAGGAGAAACAGTTCATGGTAGGCAGAAGGCAGCAAAGTAGAAAAGAAGCAGTAGCCTATCCCTTTTATCCCTTCCAGGATATCTGCCTTTTGGGTGGTGCCACCCCCACCTAGAATGGAGCACCCTTAGTTCCAGCATCACACACCCTAGATCTGGCCACCTCCCAAAACTCCCACCCCTGAGCACATGAGGCTCTAAAGACAAACCATAATATAGGGCCTTAATTTCTTCATGCTGACTAAAGTAATCTCTTTGCATCTTTTCTTTTTTTTTTTTTTAATAAAGTGTTTGCTACCATATTTTAGCAAGCCAAACTTTTAGCAATTTCTGTGTTTTATTTATTTATTTATGTACCAGGGATCAAACTCTCATCCTTGTGCTTGCAAGGCAGGCAGTGGAACCACTCAGCTAAATCCCCAGCCCCCTCTTTGCATCTTTTCTTTGCTCATTTGTCTCTAACCCATAGTGACTAAAAAATATTTCTATCATCACTTCCTTGTTCCAGAATCTGTTAACCAGTCTCTGTTGCTTCTTACATTGAATTGAATTGAAGCTCCTCTCTGAATCCTACAAAAGAATCTTTTATTGTTTGTTACTTCTGCATTTTCCTTTACTACCCTTGTTTTTCTACTCCTATTTTTTAATTTAAAAATTCAAGATACTGTATTTTTTAAATAGCTTTGTTCATAAATAATTTGAATAGATTTGGAAGTTTTAGTGATTGTATTGTTTTCATCTAACAAAATGTATGTTTTTAATTAGTCAATGGTTTCTTGTTTCTTTTTACTCATTTTTTGTTTTTTTGGTACTGGGGATCAAACTCGGGTCCTTGCACTTGCGAGGCAGGTGGCGGAACCACTGAGCTAAATCCCTGGACCCATTTTACTTATTTTTTAAATAACAAAAATATTTATATGTCAACATGCTGGAGAGTGATACAGGAAGAAAGTTCAGACTGGTAGCAATGGAGATTATTTTTCGTTGTTTAATTCAATAAATTAAAAATTGGGATAAAACAGTGTAAAAGAAACTTAATAGAAAGATATTGCTATAATTTGTTTAATGGAGGTACCTATTTGCAATGTTATAGTAGAATCAGAAAAATTTTGATTTTACTTTGGTCACATCCCAAACTAATGTCTGTTTTGTAAGTTTTCCAATAGATATTTCAGTTCTGATCTTCAACGATGAATATTTTACTTGATTTTCTGTCCTCTTATTTCAATATTACTCTCTCTGCACAATTACTGGTGGGACTACCAATGTTTTCCTTTGTATTATAAAGACAAGATGATATTGCAAACAGGAAAAGGAAGAATAACTCACAGGATTGCAAAGCTAGCAAATTTACCTGGAATGCTCTTACCATATTTTTCAAGTGTACATTGAATAACATTTTCATACTCCACCCAGAAAATCACATCTCTCAGAAAGTTTTCACCTATAAATAATGTTTTGGTTTATTTCAGTTGTTTGGGGACCTTTTTTTTTAAGCCTGTATTAGTTTATTCTTCCTAATAATGGATGTTTAAGAAATGCCTATGATAGATACAGCATAGTCCAAAAGTTGAAGTTCATTAATAATTGGAATGTTGTGGAGTATGAAGCAATGAATACTAATTACTCCTTTCATACCTGACAGCTCC